TGTCTTCTTACCAAGACTAATCAATTGGAACTCATGTCTGCTTCCCAAGACTCATTCCAACAAGAATGACCCCAAGATTAAACTGTTAGTAAAATGTGATCAACAGTGGAACAGAAAGCATTTGAATGAACCCTGGGAGAAGATAGATGAACCCTGGAAGTAGCTTAATGAACCCCTGAATTCAAAATACAAAACAAAATGACATGCACCAACATAATTTTATGTTCAATGTATGCACAAATTTTGAAATAAAGTTATACATGAAATATTTGATTTTAAAGACGTTTGAATGTGATCACTCAAAATATGTCAGGAATATGGTTCTGGAGCAGCATTCATTGTAAAATAAAATCACCAACAGTCAGCCATATTGAAACTGATCAGAAATTACAAAATGACATGCATCAAGGTCCCATTACATTTAATGTATGTACTATTGAATTGTGAAAAAAACATATATTTGTGCATGGATGGCATTTGTGTTCTCTCATATATTAACACTACAAGCTGAGGGTCAGCTTAAAACATGATTTCCAAGAAAACTTACCCATTTTGGTGTGTGTGTATCCACTAAGTCCAATGTTGATTGGGTTGGTTTACTATGACCAATTCTCAGTGGTAAACTATGTTCTTTGACAGGTGTAGAAAATTCTAATGGTGCATACCCAGGTAATGGCAGATTTAGCATGGGATAACTGAAAAACAAAACAATTGCATTACACATAACACGACAAAATCCTTGTTATTTAAATAGTAACCAAAATCATGTTTATGAATGCTTTTAGTCATTGTATGTTAGAGTCTTGTCTCTCGAACAGCATTTACATTCAGCCATTAAAATTAACATTAAATATTAAAATTTACAGGTGACATTACAGAGGTTTACAGGTGACATTACAGAGCTTTACAGATGACATTACAGAGGTTTACAGGTGACATTACAGAGGTTTACAGGTGACATTACAGAGGTTTACAGGAGACATTACAGAGGTTTACAGGTGACATTACAGAGGTTTACAGTGACATTACAGAGGTTTAATACTCACCTACATATGGCAGCAATGCAGATAGTGAAACATATCATAGCATAGGGATGACTGGAACAGAATGTACCATGATAGTAATATACATGAGATATCGCTGTACGTAGTCGCTTGGTGCCCATCTTTAACAAAGCTGACACATAGCATGTTAGGATTCACTCATTTTGGTAATTCCTATTCTGAAATTTAAA